CGTTTGTGTTATGGTCGAAACGTTGTGAGAAATTTTTTTGTTTAATATATATTTTATTATTTTATTGTTTCCCTTCAACGTGACTTTACTGAAAGAACTAAGAATATAGCTAGTCCATTGTTCCATCACCATGACGGAATACACATTGTTTCTCCTGAATCTGAGGCTCGACCACCGAGAGGATCCTCCTCTCCAGGACTCTGGCACAGGCTTTACCTGGTAGGCTGAGGAGTGTGATCTCCTCTGCAGTTGGAGGACACTCTCTGGTCCCCATTTTTTAAAAAATGGGAACCATGACTCCAGTTTTGCCAATCCAGAGGTACTGTACCCGCCGTCCATTCAACATTGACCACTACACTTCTGCACTGTCCAGCGCTTTCTAAAATTCTGGGCGAATCTCGTCTACCCCAGCAGGTTTGCCACTATGACAGCCCTCGACCAAAAGCAGCAACTTCAACAGCCGTGATGGATCTGACCCCCCCCCCTCCCCGCAAGTTGTTTCCTTGGTTGCTCCCTGAGAGGTGGAATTTCCACCAGGTTGAGGTGCTCCTCAAAGTGTCCTTTCCACCTCTGAACTATCTCCTTAGTTGAGGTCAATGTTATGCCTGGGCCACGTCCCATTGACCCCTCCAAGCATGGCCGGATCATGGTCCCGTGGGGCCCCTAGGCACATGTCTTTTGGAGCCCCCCCCCCCCACCACCCCCGCTTTCTTATATTGTTGTCTTTTTTTTCCGTCGTCCTCGCAAAATCATCCACTAGATCGTCAAAATCTAGCTGTCTGACAACGTCTGACTCTATTGACATACATGCAAATGAGCTGAGACGTGTCTGGCACATGCTACTCCGCATCTCATTTTTTATTCTGCCTAAAAGGGAATATTTCCTCTCACACCTGGCAGTTTGTCACTGGCAAAGTTAGAAAAATCCGAAGTGCCACGAAAACATTTGGGAACACTGACTGCAGATTAAGTGCCTGCAACGTCTCAAGCAATTTAGTTGGGCACTTCTCAACCTCAGACATGAAAAACTTGAATTAGATGAGTTCGTTGGCAAAGTTCATGTCGAGTTCTGATGGATATGCAGCAGACAATGCATTTACCTTTCCCACTATGACATGACTGTTAGACACCTGATCTGACATAAACAGTACTCCAAAGAGACTGGTCAAACGCTTGTAAGCGTCCAAGCAATGTTCAAGGCATGCCACTAGCTTATCAATGACCACATCCAATGTTTCTATTTTTAACTTCTCCCTCCCCTCAAGTGTCACGCCTGGCTCTGAGCTCTCATCTGCAAATGTTTTGCGTTTCCTCTTTCGCTGAAGATCGTGCTGATATGACTGAGAGACACCTGTCACATTTAAGGCTGCCCTTTCAAAAGCCTCAAACAGGTTTCGCTGTCTTGCCACAAAATCCCGCAACGAAGACAAAAGCTGTGCTGCTACAGAGATGTCAATGTCACTTTTCTGTAGGTGCATGCTTGTAGCGTGGAACCGGTCAAGTATGATGTCCCAGAAATGTGCCATGAACACCATCTCTAAGGTGTCCAATTTAGCACATAGTCCAGTGGCCTCAAATCGAGTATCTCTTTTCTCATGATCATCATTGCACATACCACCGAAGACCTCTCTAATGTGGGTGTAATTTCTCCACAGTGCCTCGGTCGACTGCCCGAGCACTCCACCGAGTACTGGACAGCAATTTTAACGTCAGTCTGACATCTGTCTTCCCAAAGACTTTTCCCCATCCGTGTGTGGATGAAGAGCAAAATGTGTACAGTGACTGCAACATGTCAAAAAAACTCGTCAGCCTCTGGGCTATTGCCGTCTAAGGTGTTAACACCAACTAAGTTAAGCGAATGTGCTGCGCAAAGCACATACTCTATTAGAGGGTTTTTTTGTTTCAGGTGGGCCTGTAGCCCATTGCATTTTCCTGACATGTTGCTTGCTTTGTCATATGACTGACCTCTACAGTTTTGAGAGGTCCAACCCAAGGCCCTCCACCATCAAAGTCACAGTCTGCTCAACTTCTACCAGTGTGACTCTCAATTGGCTCAAAGCCCAGGAATCGCTCCACAACATTCTCAATGCTGTTAACAAACCGTAATATGAACGCCTATTGGTCCACATGTGACAGGTCTGGGTTGGAGTCAACAATTATTGAAAAGTATTTGGCATCCCGAATGTCATTTGCTATTGTTTGGCGAGTTGTCTGACCCATTAGCTCAATGAGTTCTTCACATATTGTCGATGACAAATAGGACACTGTACCTCTTCCTTTTCTGCCAAACTTTTTTAACATGTTCAGCTAAGAATGGGTCAAATTGTGATAGCAATTCTAGGATGACAAGGTAATTACCGTTACGGGTTGACCCAAACTGTACAGCATCTCCCCTAAAGGCAAGTTCTCTTTCACCCAAGAACTTGATCACTGCTACAAACTCTTTTCGAAATGTCCCTCCAGTATTTACGTTCACAATCAAGTTGCTGCATCAAATCTGCATCTATATCACTGCCCTTTGTCCGCTGGTGCAAGGCAATCATGCGTGATCTGTGTTCTACACTCTTTTCGTTTTCCCCTATTCGTTCAGAGTGCTTGCAGTCACTAAACCCCTGGCTAAAGCCACTGAGCTTGCTGGAGAACAGTTTGCATGCACAACAGCGCACACAACCTGTTGAGGGTGAGTACAGTAGCCACTGTCTAGAAACCTGCCCATTTAGGAATATACAGTTTCAAATTTCATTGTTTAAACTTCTAGTCTTTCAACCAATCGCTCTATCTAGGACTAAAGATGGGTATTTTTCACTGTGGTTTTGGAAGGGGACTGCTCCTTTTTCAATAAACACTGACTTAACAATGTCACTGGAAGTGCGTTGCCATAATGCAGGGTCAGTGACCTCATTGCACCAGGAATGGCTTGGTTGCTGATTTAATTCTTGTGAACTGCCCAACTTCCCCTGAGGTGGAAATGATGGTGCTTGTATACCATTAGCTGTTGAGGGTTCGCCTTCAAAGGATGGCTCTAGGCGAGTGACAACATTACTGGAAACTGAACTAGTGCTAGTTCCTTCTTCACAGCTGACAATAATGCTGCTGTCATCATTATTACTATCAGAGGGTTTTTGAAAGAAGTTGGTAATGAGTGGAACACTTTGAAGCAAATCTGCTTCTCTTGACTCCTTTTCTTTTTTGGCTTTCCTTTTGGAAGCACCACTATTCCAACGTTTGTGGTCCATATTTCAGACCTAGTATGCTATTTATCTGAATATGTTTATAGCATATCTCACTATTTATAAAATAATCATTGAATTAATATATATATTAACAATGACAATACCCTTCAAATACTGTTGTTGAAAAATACAATCACGTGGGCGTATTTTAAGGCCTACTTGTACCTAAAGGCAGCTTTGCGTAGATAAAAGAAAAAGATAGAAAAGCACATTAAAGAAAAAAAACCCTAACCCTTTACAAATGCTGTTAGAAAATAGCCCTTAGGAGGGAATGTTGAAATAGCCTTTAAAAAGGCTGATGTTTTAGACTAAGATGAAAAAGTCTCTGAATATATGACTGTGGCGTACCAAGCAAGAAAACAGGCGTCTGTCTGTGGCTTTACCTACCAATAAATGTCTTATATACCTGCCTGACAAAGAGAGAATCATGTTGCTTGAAATTCAAAAGATAACTTTTTTTTCATTGTCTGAACAACCAACAAAGGTTTCTGATAAGTCAGTGAAATTACTTGGTGGAGACTATGCACATCGGCCACACCCCATCGATGGGGAGGGGATAAAAATACCTCGTAAAAGCTGTCGACAATTTGCATGTCAACGTTAGCATTATGTACTCCCGTTAATCTAAAAATAGACGGTCTATGGAAAAAAAGAATGGAGTTTTCCTTAATCTTTAAGTATAGATTGGGTTTCATATATGCGTTAGTGTATTAAAAAATATAGCTTTGGCATATTATTTAATGTTTCATAAAACTGCGGTGTATTTTTAATGATTGATTTTGTCAACGGCTAACAAAGCTCTCAACAAACGACGACCCCTCGGTCTCACTAGCTGGCTTTTTCATGCCGCTAATTCGTTTTTCAGGGCAGCTCTCGAGGGAAAATGGGCAGCTAGCTAAAATAAAGGAATAGCTAGTTATGGTAAGTCAAATTACGAACGGCTTGCCATAATATGACGCCCTTCAAACTGTCCTGTTATGCGGAATGAACTGACTTGTTGGTGAATATTGTATCATGTCACAGCATATTGTTGAGTGCCAACCAGTGGCTCAGTTGTACAGAAGCGCTGTGCTCTACGAGAGGCTCTCGTTTTAAGCATGCATTGTATGTACCAAGGGGCCCAGGTGTTATTTTGGATGTATGCACCGAGGGGCCCTAGGGGTCAACTCACACTGTCAGCACCCAGGGTCCCGGGGGTCCTAGTGGTTAGCTCACGCTACAAGCACCCAGGGGCCTAGTGGTCAGCTTGCGCTGTGCGCACTGAGGGCCCTGGCGTTCAACTTCCTTGTGAAGTCTTGGGCCGCGCACCGTGCGTGGCCTGAGGCTTGGAGGCCCCCTGGCAGTCCGAGGCCCTGGGGCACTGGCCCCACTAGCCCGGTCCATAATCCAGCCTTGCTGGCACACCACGGACGCTGTTTTAATATCTGACACCCTACGCCATGTTTCTTTTCCACCCAACACTTTTCTCTGCTCCCGAAATGTTCCTCTGTCACTACGTAGCTTATTCCAGGCCCCAATTGCCCTCACTACAGCAAACCAAATGTTTTAACACGTACTCACTACCCTGCTGGCTCCTTCCCATCGTCCCTCATCTGTCACCTGGTTCCCCTTACCCAAGCTCCACCCACTCAGAAACCCTCACCAATTAGGAGACACCCTGCCTCGAAAACCATCCCTCTCTGACTGTCACAGGGTGTGTGGGAGGTGGTATTATTGGGTGAAATACTATATAAACTCCTCCACAACATATTGGTTGCATCAGTGGGCTTCGAGCACTGAAGACTGCATGGCAAGTCATTGAAAAAGCACGACTAGATGCTGTTATGCATACAGGCGACTCAGGTGAGTTACAATGAAATGCAGTTAAGTCAGTGGTGCCCGTATTGTACGTGTGAAACAGGTAATATTGATATATATACATCAGTCAGGTGGAAGTTTCGAGGAATTAAAGTTGTTTTTTTCCTATGTATGAGCATATGTAAACACGTAATTTTATCATTATTTAATTTATAAACAATGTTGAATATAAGTTTAGAGGACGTGCCAATGTGTCTTTTATTGCCCTTCAAAGTTTGAACAAAAATATTAATTTATGTATTTTATATATAAAAAAAAGAAAATATAGAACTTTATAAAAATCTACTACTTTTACTCATGTAGAAGTCTTGTGAGATTTTCTGTGGGGTGATCAGTGTCAATAACACTGTGGCCTTTAACAGAGAATATTTCTATATATAAAAGTTAGTAGTTTCGTGCGTGTGTAGTGGGTCAATGACAGAGAGGAAACTTATCTGAGGCAACACAGATTTATTGTAACAATTATTTTCCCGCATATAACCCGTGGGGTATTCCACTTTTTACAAACAAAATGAGATCCTGCGGGGTATATAAAGGTGCGGGCTATCCCAAAAATTATTTTACACGTGTGACATGTCATAACTCGTTTAATTTTTTCATGGTAGGACTATCCACTATGCAACACTTACCTTTGACTAAAGCACTGCTGAATAAACCACTCACACTAAAATTGCACATGTTATCACGTTTTAAATGTTTCGAAATGTTCATACAATGAAACGACAATGTTTGAAGGGCGCACACTTTGTTTACCACAATACTTTCAGTGCTGTAGGGGGGTGTGAAAGTTTCAGCTGAGGCTATGGATTGCACAATGGGTAGGGCCTTAACAAGCGTCTACCAGACGCGGAATCATAATTGCTGAGTCACTTAGGCCGCTGCTATTGGCTGAGCACTATAAGTCGCGACCATGAGCTTTGTTTCAAACTTCCAATGACTTTGTTGCCAGGAGGCAATGGCGTTACCGTAGTACCACTATTGTCTGCGCAGTGCACAATCTACCAGTGCTAAAACTGTACAGGGGTAACTATGGGTCCAGTAGCTGTAATATGATGAGGTCGAATGCTGGTAAGCCTAACAGTACGCTTACTTACTTATCTACCAGTAATGTGTTACTTATTTATCAGATATTTACTTTGTTACTTATTTACTGTTTTATGTTCACTTGTTTCCAGTTATTTTGTTTTCTTTGTGCACGTTATTATATTAATGTTAACAATTGATAGTGGAATGTATTACAAATGTAAACTTTGTGTTAATATGATGGAATTATGCTGCAGTATCGACGTTAAAGATATGAATGCATGCAGGGTATATGGAGGTGTGGGCTTTCTAAAATTTGTTTTACACAAAACGCTATTTTTGCGGGGTATATGCATCTGCGGGTTATATGTATATGCGGGCTATATGCGGGAAAATACGGTAAACACAGAGGGGTGCGGCCCCTCACACTTGATACACTATGGAGAGTGTGCCCTCCAGACTAATACGCCTCTCACTGGCTAATCTATAACTTCTCCTTGAGTGAAGCTTGGATCTTCACTGGTACATAAGCTCAGCCGTCCCTTGCCAGGGGTACGGCTCTGCCCTTGGGCTCTTCAATCTTTAGGAGCTTCTTGTCTTCAGCTGGACGACGACTGACTCAGACCGTTCAGGGTCCGGCTTTTATCCTCGGCCCGTGGTTCACTCCACCCTAGCCACGCCTTCCTTCCAAACCTTCGAGAAGGATCTGGGAGTGATCATCCCCCGCCCCCCTCCTGGGGTCTGGGGTCTGTCCCTTTAACATAACGATCCATAGGCTAACCGTTGGGTCCTATGGCCCAGTCTCTCATACTGGGGCTCAACCCCTCGATTGCCCTCTATCGGCATGTAGCCGTTACTGCGAGCAACTGCATGGGAACGTCTTATCTTTTCCAAATAGCACCATTATACGTGTGTCACACGGTACTCGCATACAAAATGTAACGTTGTTTATTTATGGCCTCATAGTTGGCCAAAACAAATTCTAAAATATGGATGTTAACACAAATACTTTTTTAAATATTTAAAACATTTACATGTTTAATGGCAATTGAATGAAATTATTTATCCACGATTCCTGCAGCTTTAACCCACGGAAATAGAAACCATTATCAACCACAGGGGTGATTGTATCCCATTTTTTAGCAATTCTACAAATAAAACTTAACCCTATTCCATTGGTTTACATAGTAATTGTTTAATTATTGTAAAATATCAGTTGCAGTGATTGTATAATGCTGTGTCTTGTTTTTTTATGTTTTAAAGTATAAGTACTTGCGAAATTGTTGGTATAATTCCCCTGGTGAGTGAGTGGTACATTCTGAACAGCGCAACAGCAATGGTGAGTAATGTGGATCAAAGCAGATACCGGTAATGCAGTTTATTTTTACAGATGTTAATTTGGCATTATTTGACTGACATATATTAGAATCAGAATTTGTATTCATACTGGAGGAATCCAGTAGGGGCGGGTAAAAACGTTACAACAACAAATAGTACAAAAACATCATAGTAGTGCAAGTAAAAGGAAAGTAAATAAATTTACGAAACACATGTATGTATAAAAGTTAGTAGTTTTTTGCGTGTGTTTATAATCGGGGATTGCCAGAAAGTGTCTGTTTTATACACCGTTTGATTCGACGTGTCTCCATTTTATCACGGGTAATGACTCGATGACAAGTTTTATGAAGGGCCCCTTTTATTAAAAGTTTACAAAATAAGGACCCCTATTAACTACTTCCACAATGAGGGACCCTAGGCTTCGTGCTTATCTTCCAGCTTTTATCTTCTTCCAAACGTCCCAACTTCTCGTGCTTTCCCCTTTTTCGAACCTTCTTCTCCTTAATCTAGAATTGAAGCTTTCGTGACTGCAGGAATTACTATACTCATTGGTTCTTTCAGTAAAGTCACGTATGTAGATTTTTTTTTAAAATAAATCACAAATAAAATAAAATTAAAATAAATCACGACGTTTCGAATGCAACAAAAGCACTTGTCCTCAGGTGAAAATGGTGCAAAACACATAGCGAGGGAACACACAGAGCGACATTACACACAGAGCATACGGAGAACGGCAAACTGCACGGAGGCAAATACAACAAGAAGATGAGAGACGCGAACTCAACAAAACTTAGAAACATAATGTGATGCAAACCAGTCGGCCAACAACACAGTTAGACACTAAACCTGGTTGACCACGTATTTCAAAAGACTGCTACATTTTGTGTTCATCTTCTGGGCTGAACATACCAACGTAAACAGAGGATAAGGACTCGTGAACAGACACGAGGTACAAGGTAGCAGAGATACATGCACAGAGAATACAAGGAAATATGTTTTGGGCAGCACAGAGGAAAAACCAGGGTAACACCACACCAAGAGACATACAAACATGGAGATGAACACAAAAAGTATCAGTCTTTTGAAATACGTGGTCAACCAGGTTTAGTGTCTAACTGTATTGTTGGCCGACTGGTTTGCATCGCATTATGTTTCTAATGTTTGTTGAGTTCGCGTATGTTGTATATGTGGTGTGTGAAAATTTGATGAAAATTAAACGAAATTTGAAATTGGCATAATTTTTCCGAAATTATGTTGATGTGTGTAATTATGCGTACACATTATGCTAATTCGAGTGATAATCGTATTAATTTATTTGAGTGGGTGTGGTTATGTTAATGACAGCCTTTATGATAATCAGGCCCCGCCTCGTTGACGAGGATCGGTTATCAATCGGTATGAGACAATTGATCGTAAGCAGTTATGCAGTGTGATGCGATCATGCCAGAGTCAAACTCGGCTTCGCTGTTAACTTCGTATTATCGATCCGTATAATACAATTATTCTCACTTTAACATTTATTGAGTATGGATTAGTGTGTTATGTTATACGTCTCCTGATTCATATCTCCTCGCAGAATACAGTTCTTACGCATAAATCATAGGAAAGAACACGCCACAACTTCTGCATTAATCATTTTTTTTTCTAATTAAACCTTAACTCTACAATATGCAACTCTCGGCTTGGAATTTGCACAGTATCAACACAGTATCATCACGACTGCGATTTTTCACTTTGATAACAGCAAATTGATTAATTTCTCCCCCGCGCAACGCGAGCAGTTGGTTGAGAGAGAGAGAGAGTTAAAACATGCATATTCTATTCTAAACAAAACCTTCACTTTATTATATGCAAATTCGTATATTAAAAAAATTGCCCACACTGTTCTGCATTCATTTATAGATCCATAAGCAATCCTTCCAGGCAATTCTTATCCGTTGTTTCCCTTTTGGTATCAGATCAATTACTTCTTATGCAGTGTAACCCGAACACGTGCGGCAATTATGAACGAAAGGTACTTAAAAATCATCCAGCGATATTCATATGAAAAGACAATCAAAAACAGTTATTCTCAAAGGCACAAATATCAATAGGTCCATCAGCAAGATTATATGATTCCAGAAATGGCTTGGAGTGAGGCGTGCGATGGTGTGCGCGCTTCCCTTGAGATTCTTATCTTGGGCCAACTTTTAATTAATTATGGACCAGATCGCCTGATACGAAAACCGGTTGAACACGCTATCCCCCCCGCGCTTGAGCGTAGTTCCGCGGTGAAAGGGGCGAGGATTAATTCGTATTGATGGATCCGTTGGTAATTTATGTGATTAGAAGTACAATCCAAATAAAAGAATTAGGAGGAAATTATTACTATACTTATAACCGATGGATGTTTATCACTGGGTCTGTCGTGATGCTTCACGGCCACTGTTGGTTCAGCAGTTGTATGTGTTTTGAGTGATATGGGTTGTGCGGAGTTGGTTCAAAGTTCGGAATTAATTTATTTGCATCAAGAAGATGCCTGGTTGTCGTGTGGTGGAGGGCAATGTATCATACGTATGGTTGATTCGTCTTGACAGTAGTTGATTCGATCCTCGCGGGTTGACGGAGTGGCACGGTGCTGTAGT